CAGGTGAGGTAATGATGAACAGGGATCCACTTCTTGTGGCCAAAGGAGGGATCCACACTGGGAAGACAAGGAGAGATGATATTAGTACTCGGGGAAGCAAGGTACACAAGGAGCAGCTAAAGCATGCCTGATAAGTTGAATGAACTTGTCATTTCAGCAACACCAAAGGACCTGAAAGCCCACAGAAGATAACTAACGTGGATGATGACAGAATAATTTAGTAAGTAAGAAAAACACTCTCATAACATCTAACAAAATCACATTCAGGGAATCAGGCTCATCATTGTTCATTTACTGTGGGTGTATACGCTGCTGTTCAGAGAAGGGACATTTAATGACATGTTTACTAAAATACATTAGTTTAGCAACATATTTGTGTTTATTATTTCACTGGCTTCAACTCTTTCAATATAATTGACAGGAGGTCATGATCACAGTCTGTATAAAAGAAAAGTTTGCTCTCTTCTTCTTTTTATGTTAGACTGAGGCCAAACTGGACACTACATTGACCCACTATTACTTTCATAATGCCATAGAAGAAGGAATTGTCTGCCTCTTTGTGAATTAAAGCACAATTGCATAATACTGCCTCAAGATGGTGCCCCCTTCCTTTTTGTTGTGTTAAGCTGGAGCATAAGGCTGTACTACTAAAAGAGATTAATGGGTTAGCATGCTATGTTGCTAATGTTCCTTTGCACTCTCCGCTAGTCGGGAACATTCCCATAACATTGGCAAATGCAGAGGTGGCAAAAGACCAGGCATTCTTTACTTAGGTAGCAGTACGTGTACCTGTGTAAAATTGGCTCAGTTGGTGGTTTGAGGCATGATATAAATCAGGGCACACAGTTAGTGGGTGTTCTCCATCGCCACCTAGTGGGCATAAGAGGTGTTCACTCTGCTGACCCACAGCACACCCAAGCTGCAAGTCAAGTGGACCACAGCACAGAACAACCTAAGCGGGTCTGGTAGTGCAAGGGCCCTCTCATCGCTGTTTACAGCTTTATTTTATTTGATTTTTTTTAATCCCCTTTCACCCTGCAGGCGGTCTTTTATCCTTCAAGCTCAGGTCCTCTACCAGAGGCCTGGGAGAAACTCCTAGGACTTTGCTCTTCTGGACAGAGAAACACAGTTCAAGCTCTTCTCTCAGTCCTTGGTACTTCTTAGAGCTATTGTGCTCCTTTTACCTGATGTTGCTATCACTTGGTATAGCTACATCTATCACTGTGGTCGTGTTCTTTGTCTGGTTGGTTAGTCACCATTGGTTTGTCCATCTGTCTGGAAGTCATTCTCAACAACCCTAGGGGGTGTGCCTAAGGATGGGTTTAAAAAATGTATTTTCCGATTAAAATCAATTTTAGCTTAAATAACGTGATATTGACTCATTAAATCCTGAATCGATTTTTAAATATAAATGTATTTTGCCAGAAACCCTAGAATCTCAGGTTAAAGCTCACAAAACCATTTCAACAACCACCAAACTGCTAAAACAGCAAATGAGAGCAAGTAAACAGATTCTCCACAAAGACACAAACACATCCCTCCGTTCACCCGACTACACGTACATATACATGCCGTTGGGTGTTGGAAACCGACATCTCACAGATTCTGAAGCTGTAGTCTTCGTCACTCTCCAACCATCAGGTACCCTGCTGGGGTAATAGGCTGGCCAAAGGAGGAGATAGAAGCCACTGACATAAAGACAAGAAAGCTCCTTACCATGCAT